ATAAACTTTACTTCTCCATCGTATCACATCATACTCTGAACTGGTAATTTTCTTATAAAACAGCAAATATCTTTAAAATTTCTAAGAAAACTTATTAGTTTTAGTATTTGTAACTAAAATAGATATAATAAAGAATGACATACTTAAGTTCCAATATTCTGCAACTAACATAATTATTTTTAAAAAAAGCTAAAACTTCACTCCTCCATCGTATCACATCAAACTACAAGCCAGTGCTTTTCTTATAAAACTGCAAATATCTTCAAAATTTTCAAGAAAACTTGCTAGTTTTAGTATTTGTAACTAACATAGATATAATAAAGAATGACATACTTAAGTTCCAGTACCCTACAGCCAACATAAATATTTATAAAAAAATATCTAAAACTTTACTCTTACATCATATCAAATGAAACATTTCTCATAAATTTAAATAAAATCATTTTTTTGCATGTATCAAATATAAATAGTTAATTAATTAATATTTAAGGTTAATAGACGATAACAAAGCGTTGTTATGGCAACTAGAAATTGTGAAAATGCTAGGCTAATTGCTCTTCGTTCAGGCGTATTTTACATATAAACAAACCTGGAAAGAATGTTATTGTACGGTTTTGTATGTAAAACACTCCTGATCGTACAGCAAAAACGGAGCATTTTCGGATTTTTGTATCAAAGAAGAAGGTTAGAATAGTGTTACCACAACAACACTATGTTACCGCAGAATTGGCCCTTCGGTCATTTTTTACAATTTTTTTCATTAATTACATCTGTGTAATAAAATAAATTACAGATATATTTGAAAGAGTGAACAAAGTTGAGCATAAACATCCGTTGTTTTTCCTGTCTTATTTTACCTCGAACGAGTGAGATAAAATAGTGAGTTTTTTCCATCTACATTTTGAGAATCTCTACAAAATTATATAAAATTGTTAGTAGTATCTCCTCGAATTCTGTTGATGGGACAATTTAATTGTTTTATTGCGCGCGACGCGTTGCGTTTATGAGTCTTCGTCGAATGGAACATTTTCCTCGAATAGAGACCTTAGTATGCTCCTCTGGAAGAAAACTTGAAGGGTAGATGGATGCTGAATTCTGTTTATGTCTTTATGCAGTCGAGAAATTACTTAATTTATTCCAGAATAATATTATAGACAGATACTGAGTTGATTAGGGAGGAAATTGTTGCACCTGGAAATATTGGAATAACAAGTAAAAGAAAACTAATCTAGATTTTATACTAGGTGGGCCATAAAAATTAAGTTTTCTTCGTTAAGTGGACCTTAATATATAGTTTATCAATATTGCCATAATATATTTCTGTTAACTTTTTCCTATATAAAACTAATATTGAAACCAATATGAGCTTCATATAATTCCTATATTAGTAAACAATATTGATCTTACATTCAAAACCAATATAGGCTCAATATAGATAATCAATATTTATTTCACATTGAAAACCAATGTGAGCACAATATAAACTAGTGGTGTATGGCATCGTGCCTTAAGGCAAATTGCTGGAACTTCCCGTACAGTAACCAAATTATGGAAAAATTTTAAACGTTTACAAACATATTATTACAAATACTGTAACTTTCATTATTTGTGCTATCTTTTGTTATATCTGAGCAAAACAAATGTAAATCATAAATCAATTTATCTCCAGAACATTAACAATCGTCATTTTATTTCGAATTCAATTTAAAAAAAATAGTTGCCTAATTTGTACAAAATTGAAAAAGTGCTTCCTTATAGTCACAGTCTAAACGCATTTGCAAATAATTCTGTGTGACATTTTCACTTATACTGTGCTTAGCTTGGCGGCATTTTACATTTTTCAATAGTTTTCACAAAATTGGCACATAAACAGTCTAAAAGCACTGGGTAAACATTTGTACCAGAGTGGCGCTTAGATTGTGCTTAGCCTGGGTAATATTTTGAATTTTTAAAATTACAAAAATATTTTATGGAAAATAAAAAAAGATTGTAATAATTTTTTATTCTCAAAAGCAATTGTTTTATCAATACAAGCAGAAATTTGTTTAGATCATTCAAATGGACGCTTAGTTCACTCAAAAGCTGCCATTTTTGCACATTTAGCTCTGTATCTTGAAATGGAAGGACCTGTCTTTGCCAAAAACTAATCACCTCTTCTCCCAATCATTACAAATTGAATGTTTTTTAGATCATTCAAATCCGATGCTCCGTTCTCTAAAAAGCTCGATTTCTATTTTCTGCACTCTTTGCTTCGTATCTCCGTAACGGCTGGACGTGCCTTTGCCAAAAACTAATCAACACCTAAATATTAATTAATTGATCAGCTACCTATTAATAGGAATCGAATGTTTTTTAAACCATTCAATCGGTTGATCCGTGCGCCCGAAAACTTAGACGAAAAAATGCGGACATAGAAAACACACACACATATTATTTTTTTCCGAGATATGCCAAAATGTTCAGAAACCTTCAAAACGTGAAGAAATGTAAAAATTTTCCATTTCGATTTTAGGCCCCATTATTATAACTACTCTACGGGAAGTAAAAAACTATAACTTTATGTTATTGAAGTCGTTATATTAAATTCTGCCTAGCTTCACCAATATAAATGAGTCGTATCTGAACAATTGATTTTATAAACCAGATTTTTAAGATAGAGATGTTGAAAGTAGTATATATATATATATATATATATATATATAAATATATATATATATACATATAATATATATATGTATAATATATATATATATATATATATATACACACATACACATATATCCTTTACAACTTGTCAGAGCCCCATCAACAGGTCCTCGTGCCACTTTTCACCATAACGAGCAGTCATAAAAATCCTCCATCATTTCAATTCCAACGATTTGCAGTTTGCCACTTTGCAGACTGCAAATAGAGCACAGAAATTGCATACATATCAGGCTGATGATGGTGCCGCCGCCGGTTGTCATAGCAACCGCCTGCAAGAGGCGACTTTGAGGCGCCACTGGATTCTAGGCGACGTCTTTGACCGCCCGTCGAGGATAATAGGGATAGTGGATTATTATTATTTAGTTTGTTTGTTTTAATGGAATACTATAGATTAATAGATGTTGTAATAAGACATAAATGAAGTGGTTGGATATGAAAACTAGGAGTTTTGTTTGTTTTTGTAGCTTTTGTTAGAAGCCAGTGCAAATCGAGGAAAAACTAGTGGATAGTGGCCTTATGCCTAAGACAAGTTGCATGAACTTTTCTGAAAAGCGGTTTTTTATAATTTTTTCCATTTATTTCTACAATCTAACTATATTTCTATAATTCAAAAAATACTAATCGTGGTATGTGAAGCGCATTCCATAAATAACTAGTTATTTTTAATTAAAATTCAATACTTTACTATTCTACGGTGATTTTTTTAGCTTCCCGAAGGAGAAGTTTATGTTTTCATCAAAAAATTCGATTCACTAATTTTAGGTTTTTCTCGACGTTTCAAGCCATTCTGAATCGAAGGAGACCGAGTTTGGAAAAAGTATGTGTTGGTTTGTGTGTGTATGTGAATAGATTTTTTGCCGTAAATCGCCGTTTTCTTAAAAACGGCTGGACCGATTTCAAAAATTTAAAAGCCATTCGATGTATCTCGATGAGTACTATCGTGTGTCACTTTTGTGCGACGATCGGCCAAGCCGTTTCTTCGTAAACAGCAGAGAAGTAAAAAGTTTTTCGTTAACGTTTTAACCCGCAATTCTGAATCGATTTTGAAAATTCAAAAATCGTTAGAAAGATATTGGTTGGGAATCGTGCTGATTAGTTTTTGGTAAAGATCGGCCGGGCCGTTTTCTTGTAATAAAGTTTTTTTAAAAAACAATTCGACGATTTTTATGTTTTTTTTTGACTGTAGATACTATAGTATTCTAGATCATACTAAAATATTACGGCCCCACGACAACAGGTTCAGCTTTAAAAATTCGTCAAAGTTTGCAAAAATTGGTATCGTTTTTTTGGCATTTGTCAAATTAGACCTTTCATCGACGTTTTCTCAAAAACGCCTGAACCGATTTCAGAAATTTAAAAGCCGTTTGATGTATTTTGATGAGGACTATCGTTTGTCAGTTTTGTGCGACGATCTGCCAAGCCGTTTCTTTGTAATTTGAAAAAAAGTGTTAAACTTTTCGTCCACATTTAAGCTCATCCTACCGAACCTATTTTAAAAAATCAAAAACTGTTCGAAAGATATTAGTTGGGAATAGTACTGATTAATATTAGGTGAAAATCAACCGAGCCGTTTTCTTGTAATGAACTGTTGAAAAAAAATTTAAGCCGATTTTCATGGAACTTTTTTTGGCGATATACATCATGGTCTTATAGAACTTACTGTAATATTACGGCCTTACGACAAGTAGTTTAATTTTAAAAATTCGTCAAACTTTGCTAAAATTATTATCGTTTTTTTAAAAGTAGGATTGATGAAGTATGTTATTTACACTTTTTTTTTGATTAAGTCGATTATTTACACATATCGGGAAGTTCATGTAACTTGCCTCAAGGCTAAATACCAAACCAACTAGTTTTAAATTATATTATACAAAAACTGAATTAAGTGCTTTAACTTTAAATAAATTAATTTCAACTTCATTTCTTATTTCTGTCTTAAAAAATTTAATTTATTAAATAAATAAATAGTAATTATTTAATATCATATATAATATATACATATACTTATACATATATATATATATATATATATATTAATAAATTAGTTAAATAAATAATTAAATAAATAAATAATTCAACTTATCATCTACCATTTGTCAAAAATTCCCGTTGACATTTTAAAAACAAAACCCAAAATTTCCTTTCAAAATCAAATTTTTATACTAAAATTTTTAAACCAAATCAAAATTCCAAATTCCACAATGTTTTCTAGACAAATTTTACGCACAAATACATCTTTTTTCTTGGCGAAAAAATCAAAAATCAAAAAATTTGGCAAAAATTTCACTAGAAATTATTCTGTAACCGGAGATGTAGTAAGTCCACCTTTGGTTTCTGGTATCGAAAACTTGATTAGCGGACGAATTAATAAAGGAATGGCTTTTACTTTAAACGAAAGACAGGTAAAAATTAAAAAAAATGGTAAAACACACCTTGGTATTTGGTTAATAGATTAATGCACAAAAAGTAAAATTTTACTACGCCTTTTAGTAAAAAACTTAGCTTTTGCCAGGTACTTACAATCTGGGACACTTGTCTGGTTTTTGGGGTACAAAAAGCACAAAAATTTTTTTACAATTAATTACATATTTTTTAAATTTAATACAAACATTGGTTAATGAGTCCATGAAATTTTTTCCTGATTTTTTAAATTATTTTTGTATTTTTTTAAAGGTTTTAGGTATCCACGGTCTCCAACCATGTACAATAAGGACTCAAGATCAGCAAGTTGCAATTGTTGAAGGGGCTTTGGAAAGATATCAGGACCCTTTTGAACGATATTTGTTTCTCACTGCTTTACAAGTAAGTTCAGAAAATCATAACAAACAGTAATTGTTAAAAAATTGCTTTAGTATAGCTTAAAAATACATTGAAGTCTTAAATTGTGGTGCAACCAGATTTCTTCAATAATCTCTAACTTTTTTTAAAAATATAGCATTTTATTATATTTTTATTTATGTAGTTTTATAAGATAAAGTTCAAAAACATCATAACAAATAGTATATATAAATGTAATTGTTTTAATACCACTCAAAAAATAGCTTGAAGTCATAAAAGAACATCCTTGTGATGGAACAAGATTACTTTAGCAATTTCTAACTTTTCTTCAAATATTTTGCATTTTACTTTATTTTAATTTAAATAATTTATTAAATGTTTTTTTATTATTTGCAGAATAGCAACGAAAAACTGTTCTACCGAGTTTTGGCCGAAAATTTGACCGAACTTTTACCATCGATTTATACTCCTGGAGTTGCCTTGGGTTGTACCAATTTTGGACTAATACCAGAGTAAAAAAAAATAGTTTTAAGGTGCAATTCTGCCCCATAAAATAGCATTATCTTATGCTTGTTTTTTGTTAGTAAAACTATAAAAATATCTATCTATTGTCGTGCGATCAAGCGTATTTTACATATAAACAAGCAAGGAAAAATCTTATTATAACCATTGCACCAACTAGAGTTCTGGTAAAATACGCCTGATCGCACTGCAACTTGATAAATATTTTCACAGCAAACAATGAGCATAAGAAAGCGTTGCTATGACAACGGTATTTTATGAGGCAGAATTGCATCTTCAAAAAATTAAAATATAAAAATACAACTATTAAACTATGATATAGTTAATAGAATACTTAAATATTTTGTTGTGGTGAGCCAAAGTGTTAAAAACAATTTTTAATCTTAAGTACAAACTTGTAGTTTTTTGGCTACTTTGGTCATTCCAATTGCAAAATATTGTTTACACTTAATTTATTTTAAATATTATGAATATAAGTATCACAATACGTAAAATAGCTACTAAATTTTATTAGCAAAACCACAAAAAATTATAGAATATACTTTAAAAATTTTAGAATGATTTTGATTCATCACCATAAAAATACACTATTAAACTATGATATAGTTAATAGGGTACTTGAATATTTTGTCAGGGTGAGCCAAAGTCTTAAAAACAATTTGAAGTACAAATTTCATCTATTTTTGGCAGCTTTGGTTATTACAGATTTACTATTTATAAAAAATTGTTTATACTTGAAATTTATCAAATAATATGAATATATCTATTAAAATACGAAAGTGCCAACTAAACATTAGCAAAAGCTTCAAAAAAATATATAATATACTTCAAATCTTTGTTCCAAAAAATCTGGTATGATTTTGGTTCATCACCAGAAAGGTTTAGAAAATTATCTGGCTGTTTATACAAATATTTTTTATATTATTTTTAAAGTTCTCCTCATGGAATGTATATATCAATTTTCGACAAAGGACACATTTATGATATCCTGAAAATTGGCCTGAACCAAATGTACGAGCAGTTTGTGTCACAGATGGAGAACGAACTTTAGGTAAAAAATATAGATAAAAGCCTTAAATTTCTGTCCTAAAATCATTCAAAAATTGTGCAAATAATTTAGAGAAAATTCTAATATTTTTATTCAAATAAATTGTTAACATTGTTAACTTCGTTCGTCTCTAACACACCTATTCTATTTACTCGTTCATTGTCTCTACTGATACTCTCTATAATATTCATTTTTATTGAATAAAACGACTTTGAATTCGATACCTCATTCTTTAGTTGCAACGAATAGAAAATTCAGGACATTTTTTTGTTTTTTGTCAAATAACACAAAAATTTCATATGGAACTACCCCTTTTCAGTTAAATAGGGTGAAACTAGATAAAATTTACAACATTTCCTAGTGAACACTTTTATACACTCCGATATAAGGGTTTTGAATAAAACATCTTTGAATTAATAATCAAAAAGTAATCAAAAATTTGGGGTATTTTAATTGTTACTCTAGCTATAATCCTAAAGCTCACTTATATACTTGAAATAAATAATTTTAACTTTGCAATTAAGTTTATATAATTTTTAGAAATACGAGATAAGGTCCTTTAATTCTGACTCCGCTTCATTAAGTTTAGTTTATTTAGTTTTTGTATAACATACATAAACGTCGTCGTCTAATTCATAAGCTTTTATATTCTGTCTATAAAATACGAATAACAAAAGTTATAGTATTTGTAATAATATATTTGAAAGCGTTTGAAATTTCTCGAACATTTCATTACGGTACGGGAAGTTCTAGAAATTTGCTTTAAGGCACGATGCCATACACCACTAGTTGAATTTTCACTGAGCATGACATAAAATCATATGTCGAAACGTATGGGTTTCCAAAATTATTAAAATTTTCTGAAAGAACATCTGATGTTTTGACCATAAAAATTTGACTTATTAATTTCATAGTTTTCTTGGAATTCCAAATCATTCTGAATCGTTTGACACCAAACTTGGAAAAGAAAGAGTAAAAGCTACTTGTTTCTGAATTTAGTTAATTTTTCACTGAGGAGGATAAATAATAATATGGTCAAAACGTATGGCTTTCGAAGATTTTTAGAATTATGAACTTCATGAAGAACAAATGTTTTGTCTAAAAAATCTTATTTTGTAACGTAAAAATTGTTTCTTGATGTTTCAAGCCGATCTGAATCGTTTGACACCGAAAAATAAAAGCTTCTAATGTATAAACTTAATATATTTTTCACTGAGGATGACATGACATTGTATGTCGAAACGTATGTCTTTTGAAGATTTTCAAAACTATTAACTTCATGAAGGAGAAATCTGTTTTGCCAAAGAAATCTAGTTGTTAATTAGTGACACAGAAATGAATATTTTAGAGAGTGTTATTAGAGACAATAAACGAGTGATTATAGACGAACGGAGTTAACATATCAGTCATTCTGGATCGTTTGACACCGAAGTTGGAAATGAAAAAGCTATTTGTAAATTTTTCACTGATATAAAATTATATGGTCGAAATGTATATCTGTAAAGGTTTTCAAAATATTATCCGAAAAAGAAATTTGTATTGCCATAAATATATCACTTGGTAATTGTATAACTTTCTTAATGTTTCAAGTCATTCTGAATCGTTTGACACCAAAATTGGAAAAGTAAGAGCTACTTGTTAATGTTCTGGAGATAAATTGATTTATGATTTACATTTGATTTGCTCAGATATAACAAGATAGCAAAAATAATGAAAGTTACAGTATTTGTAATAATGTATTTGAAAGCGTTTAAAATTTCTCGAATATTTCATTACGGTACGGGAAGTTCCAGCAATTTGTCTTGAGACACGAAAACAAAAGTACACACTTCAAAAATAAAAATCAGGATAAAACTATGATCACTGATCACATAAAAAATTATAATCACAATTTCAATTTTGACATGACTTTATCATGAGACGAATACGTCTCAGAGACGCTTTGCAGAATCTTGCTTCATTCAAATGTACAAAAA